TCCGCGACTGCTAAGGAGATATCTTGGACCTTTTTAACTGAACACCCCCAGAAACCGCCCGGGAAATGGTCACAATGAGGTTCAGAATACTGTTAAAACACGCATTAGAGCAGAAATGCTTTTATAGTCAAAGCAGGAGTCATTTCTGAGGAGCAGAACACGCAAGTATGGCACACAAGGACTGTCCGAATGCCGAAAACTGGGCCGCGTACGTGGCACATCGCAACTTGTGCGTGAAATTGATCCTTCAGGACAAGCTGCGGCATCAGAAGGAATTAATGAAATGACTTTGCACTTGCTTCAAACTGTTATACAGGCACGTTAATGGCCTCCGTAAGTTGCACCGATTACGACTGAGAAGTACAAGCAATCAGCAACGGAAGCAGCCGATATCTTCCGGTTCCATTAGTTATTTACATTCCAGTGAGCAACGGGCCAAATGATTATCCCAGATTCGATCGCCCCACCGTTAGGTTTATCCAATATCACTTGTACTACTGAAACTGCGTTGAAGAAGTTGTTATCCCTAAGTACTTTATAGCTCTCCTGGGGTCGATAAAATTCTGCCGAAAGCTTTATATGCAGCAGCCAGTGATTTAGCAGAATCTCTGGCTATTCTCTATCAGCGCTGTCTAGAGGAGAATAAAGCTCCACCAATACGGAAGCGAGAGCAACCACTCCTGTTCATCATGGGAGTGGTAGCGCTGATTATACCAATTACCATCGGATAACGCTGCTCCATGTGCTTTCCAAAGTCACGGAATCAATTATCGCAGATGCACTGAAGCAGAAGCTGGAAGACTATAGCATAAGAACCAGAAGTAAAATGACTTCCGTCAAAAACACTCGTGTATTGGTTGGCGGCATCCGGTTTCGGATTTGCCTCTCTCTATGGCCAGCCACAGGACGCCTGCGCCTACAGAGGGACCATGGATGGCTTGCGCTGCACCACCCACAGCTCCAACCACACACCCCATATCCAATGTAAACCCGAAGAAATAAGACCGGGAGGCATGTGGATGGGAGCCACGTTTCATCGACGGAGCCGGCCCACACTCCTTCACAGGCAAACACAAGCACGCTGTATTTGGGAAATCAAGCGCACACAAGGCGGTGGCTTGACCGTAGTCCGCTCCACACTGAGTGCATGGAACCACTCTTTGATCCTAGCACGGCCACAAGGACCGTGCACCCCGTCCCCTCCAGCAACGAGCAACTGTCTTCTGGAGCCAATATGGAAGAGGTAGTGGGTAATAGACAGGTAGGCAGCTTGTCAACATGCACATCAAGCGCAGTGAAACCGGGGATATCAAGCAACAGCCAATCACCTGGAACGACAAGATGAAAGAAAACAAATCCAATAATGCATACAGATACGGTGGCATAACACTTCGCTAAATTAGCATATGAAGTAAGTTGGTTAGTAATGAATCCGCTATAAGGAAAAAATGTCCACAAACGCAACAAACTTACCGAAGATAAGCGTAATTAGCGTAAGCAACGTGGCCAGCTAATAGAAGATTATTCAGATAGGCAAAACAAACCAAATAAAGTGGAATGAAATTTATGCAGCTTAACGAGACCTAGTTTAAATTGGTTTAGCCCAACTGCGGTGAAGAAGCATCAAGAATGCGACATCAGCCTCAGCATGGGGCACACTCATGTATTACTAACCTGTTTATTGCACGCAGCAGTTGATCTGATGCAATTGATTAGAAAACTGGAGTCGGTGTCCTCTACCTGGACCTCTCAAAAGCGTTAAACCATCGAATTCCCCTCTACAAACTTCAGAACTATGAGACCAGTGCCCCACTTCTGCGTTGGATAGGAATCTTTTTACATGAATTTCGGTTGGATATGAGAGTCCGGCAACTACTGTCCGAGGCGGTCGATGTGGAGTGTGGCGTACCACAAGGCTCGGTGCCGGGGCATCGTCTATTCTTGATTTTCATATACAATCTAATAAGAACAATTGCTTCGGAATTCTTACACTTCTCGGATGATATCAAGAGGTAGTGAGTAATCAGGGAACCGGATGATCAGCGCGATCTCAACACGATTTCGAACTGCTCAGTTCAGAATGCCATACCATAAGATGTAAACAAATGTCGCATTGTTAGATACGCAGTTGACATGACTGTGCACAGGCTTGGGTCGTACATATTATAAACTGTTTTCCAGCAACGCGACCTTAGTGTGCTCATACAAAGTGACCACAACTGTTTAAAACAGTCAGACATAGCTACATAAAGACGCAAATAGCCCGTAGACCTGCTTCGGAGTGCATTTGGGAGTTTCAACACGTGAGTCTTCCCGATGATGCACTACTCTTATGTGTGCCCTCAAAATGAATACGCCATCCAAACATGACAATCTTGGTTGAAGCGCGACGTAAAATTGCCAGGGATACCACAACGCAAGGTAATGGAGAACGTCAAGTGTCTATGCAATTTCTCTCACTAACAACGACTGAAGTTACTGGAATCGTTCAGTGGACGCAATCGAAGGTTGTGCGGTGATCTCATACTAGTGTACCAAACGTTGAGTGACCGCAATCACGTATGGCGTCATCTTTTGTAACGGCCACAACACCAAGCTCAGAGGTAACTGTCTGAAACTGAGTGAACAACACAACCGTCTAGAATGTCGATGGCTGACGTGATTTCAATAGATATAAGAATGCCGATGGAATTAGCTCTCTCTTTGAACTTGCCAACCTTGAAACTCTCTCCCAAACTCAGCTGTCTCCCGCCGTCCCACTATGGTTGTCATCAAAAAAATTGAACATTGCCCTTAGCTCGCAGCACTCCGTTACGTAAACTATGCCATTGTGGAATATATTAATCATGACTCCAAAACGAAGTTATGTATCACATGGACCCAAGGAGGGGGTGCTGAGTGAGCGTACTTGTTTTTATTTTTCCCATGGAATAAGTCAGCTATAACTGCCCCCTATGTTATCTCGTATGCTTGTAATTAATTCCCAATTGGCATGTTGACAAGGTGCCTACCTGTCTATTACCCACTACCTCGTCCACACTGGCTCTAGGAGATAGTTGGTCGTTGCTGGAGGGGACGGGGTGCACGATCCTTGTGGTCGAGTTAGGCTCGAATAGTGGTTCCAAGCACTCAGTGTGGAGCGGACTACGGTCCAGCCACCGCCTTGTGTGCGCTTGATTCCCCAAATACAGCGTGCTTGTGGTTTGCCTGTGAAGGAGTGTGGGCAAGCTCCGTTGATGAAACGTGGCTCCCATCCACATGCCTCCCGGTCTTATTCCTTCGGGTTTACACTGGATATGGGGTGTGTGGTTGGAGCTGTGGGTGGTGTAGCACAAGTCCTCCATAGTCCCTCGTAGGCGCGGGCGTCATGTGGCTGGTCACAGTGACAGGCATATCCGGAACCGGATGCCGCCAAGCAATCCTCAGTTTGCACTATCGTAATTCAGCAGCGTGTTTAGCTCGGTAGACAGTTAATCAGATTACGCACATAACTTTTGATTTAGTTGTTTTCACCCCCACCTTACGGAACTTGTCGAGCACCTGAGTTTTACCCTTGATAAGTCATTGTTCGTCCTTGAGGTCTCTCACAAATTTCCTACCACTTACATTATTTTGACAAACCAAGCCACACGGGAAATAAGAATTTTACCACCCACATTTCGGCTTTCCAGTGACTGAGGTAGTGGTAGCCAACGGATCCTGTTACCTAACCGTTTGCTTGTTACCTGCCTAAGATAGTTTGGATTGTGCAGCTTTTTCGCTTCACCTACCATCCAAGCCCGTAGCACAGAGGTAACGAGCTTATCACGCAATCTTGCGGAGCGGGTTCGAATCCGCGTAGGGGTAGGCGTTCTCGCGGCATACGCAGCCCGTGTGCGACTGGTGGTGGTCGCACGGCAGCGAAGCGCCGTTGCGGCATACAGCTGACACGCACGTTTAAGCTATCGATTTGATTGTTCAAACAACAGAAATCAACTTCGGAGTCAGACCTAACGCTTACAACACAATCCCTGCTATGTAAACGTTTGGGTCTAATGAGAGGTTACGCAGTGCCCATGATTCACTCAAAACCATTGGGATCTATGCTCCTTTTGCTGACGGACAGGTATACAAGCGTGCCTCAGAATAATGGAATGCGATATTTCAAGCCTTCCGGCCAACTTAAGACATTCCAAGCGTGGTGTTCTAGTCCTTGTGAACTGTGTAGGCTTGCTCGACGAACTGATGCAACGAATAGATTGTACAGCTATCGTCATAACAGGGACTACTATGGTGGCACTGGTTGCGTAACACCTTGCGCATCCCCGAAAGTGAATTGGTGCATGTAGGCTCATTACCACGCTAGTTAACCGTAAAGCACGCAGCACGGTGAGCGTTGCGCTGTGCCCCACGATTGCGTCAACGTTGAGTGAGTACCTTGGATAGTACAGGCAATGTTGTAGACCATAAGGTTGTGGACCATAAAGTATGCCGTCCACCGAAAGTTCACATCAACTATTCACGCTATTATACGCATGCTTTGGCAACCAGGTTCATCCAGTGTGCCTAATCACAAAGTGAACTAACATATAGCAGTTTCGTCCTCTTTGCCCCACTAAGCGTTGTGTAAAATTCGCTTTCCAGCTTGCGTTATTTGAATGGGAATTTATCGTTGCTCCACTATGGTGTCAGACGTTAAGTTAAGCGTAAAGTTTGCCCTGATGCGATTAATTACCGGTTATTATGAGATACCGATTTGGGAGTTGCCCTAATGTCTTGTTGGAGGCTTCGGACACGGGGGAGTAGTATTGGTCAACATTATTTCTGGTTACCTAACGCAACCAATGTCGGTAAATGTAATGTCCCCAAAACAAAAACCAAATGGCTCAAGAAATGATGAGCAAATAACAAGTGAAACAACGCATCAGTTTCCCGAAAATGTGGTCAGTCTGTGTGATGTGTTTAATCTATAGTCACTAACAAACTTCCGCACTACGGTTGAATCATTATGAATAGGCGTACCGACGTTTGTATGACAAATTACTATGGCAGTACAACGGCAGAGACAATAGCACATTCAAGATGCAGGTACGGAGTAACAATTCCCACGGCCGCAACGGCAAATGCTGCACTTTAGCTTGTCCACCTAGTCGACCTGCGAGACGCGCACACCTTCAGGCCTGCGGTGGTACAAACGAATGGCCTTGTCCTCGCATGGTCTGAACTGAGCACGTGACCAACGTGCGGCGCTGCAGCTGCAGAGCACAGGGTCGTTAAATCTATTCAATTTACACAAGGGTTGCACACAAATACAGCGACGGGCAGAAATAAAATGCGAACGGTTCACAAGAAAGGTCACGCCGTTCTATCCTGGTAGGAGAAAGAGGAATATAGCAGTTGTATTTCACCTCAGCTTGGAGGAAAGCAAAGGATTGTAGGGCATCTGATACAAAAAGTGAATGTAATAAAAATAGAATGGGAACGGATTAGGTCTACGTGTTCACCACGTATATGGAGAATCAATCATCTCGAAAATATTGCGAAAGGTGTTGAGCAGGAGCAAAATTAACCTGGATGTGACGGATCGTTCAAATTGCGGTGACCAGTTGTCAAACGATTGTCGCTTTGCACTTTGAGACGGCTTGGAGCACGATCGATGGAGAAAGAATTGCCAGGGACAGATGAACTGGGTGCACTGGACTCGTGAACGGTAGAGCGATTCAACTGTCTCGTGCGCTGTAATAAGTAGGAAGTCAGGTCCTCCAACTGAACTGATAACCACACACCACAAAAAGGGCCCAACCAATATACGAAAAGATGCGTGCGCAGCGGAATGCTACCGACTCTCCAGGTATGTACGTAAGCATTGGCTGGATTGAGATACATCCCGGTGAGTCCGAGACCTGTAAGTGAAAGGAAGTTGGCTTATACGTAAGTGTCCACAATGCAGCAGTCTTGCTCAAATCCTTAGCTACTACGTGGTCACTGAAACAACAAATCTACGGCATTGATGGATATTAGGTATTGCCCGCCAGAAGACTGTGTACTTTAGGACCACTTTCGACCTTAGTTGATCTCATTGTGTAGAGATGGCAGGTCTCGAACCCCGGACCCGCGATGTTAGTCTAGACTTTACCCCTCTAGACACCGATTCACAACGGGCAACGCTTGGCACAAAGGTTAATGACTAAGTGGAGTCATTTGAAATACTCATTGTGTGGATTGGTTGCGACGTGCAACCTCAATGTACGCCGGGGTTCCAAATGAAGTAAACTTTGGTCATTCGATCACTAGGACCGTAAGTGATGAAACAGATGGAAACTGGGTATACACACACACACACACACACACACACACTATACACGTTAGCTAGAGGTGGGAAACAGTTCAGCTACTGTGCCGCAATACATAAAAGAAAAAAGGGAATAAAATGCAAAAGGTGCACGCCAGCTGAGCAACCAGTACCGGATGGACATCGTTCCGGTACGCTATCAGCCGGTAACTATGCAGCGAAAAAGTAATTTCCTATGCAAAATTATAAAATGCTAAATATTGAGATCGTGGTTGGAGAGGGAGGCTAAGAGGGATGGGGAGGGACAAAGGAACTCACAGCACGAACGCCACTGAAGTCGGCTCCTAGCAATATGAACAAGTGTATCCACTCAAACGTGTTCATCGTTTTTCGGACCCCAACCTGGGAGCCGAAACGCTCCAACCGAGGCCAACTCCGAAGTGAGGGCCTTCATTCCTCTCGACCAAGTCATCGCTTGGCCACCCGTCCTCTTCTTCCATCCACACCCCCGGAGCGCAAGCAATACACGTCGCGGGAGTTGGTGGGCTGGCATGTGCAACACCTGGCCGAGTCGTCGGAGCCTGATACGTGAAATAACGGTACTGAGCGGTTCATGTCCATTTCCTGTGCCGTAAACAAGGCGTTGAACACGCTCGTTGCTCACGCGGTGTTCCCACCAGATGTGAACTAAATTGCGAAGGCACCGGTGGTCGAACGTAACTAGCCTCTTTATGTCAGCTGATCTAAGGGGCTAGGTGAAACTGGGTATTGCCCGCCAGAAAACAAAGCTACTGTGTGTTTCACTAGTTATCTATGGGATTTGCTTTTGTAGTGATAGACGGAGAAAATGGTGGGTCGAGTGATCAAATGCCCCTTACTACGCACTGTAGGCGAAACTGGTTCGAACAGGTAGCTTGCCCTAACGAGTACAGCATAACTGCACACAGCCACTGGCCGGTCATCCATTGCGTCGTTTGAACTGTGGGTGCGGTATGAGATGGTGCCATAGTTGCAACGACTGATTTGGACCTATGAACATTCTGGGGCAAAATACTAGGCTTCAGACAGTGTCGGCGCGATGGGTAAAACACGAAGATAGCTGGGGGAAACGGAAGGCTCAATGAAAAATGTCATCCCTAGTGCCAAAATTATCTGAACACCGCTACCCATGATCTCAGTCAAGGTAAACAATATCAGTACATTCGACTAACGTAACTGAAGTCTCCCCATTCAGGTGACCCTGGAAGTATGTATTGATCGGTCGTCAGAAAAGAAGCCGACGGTTGACTGTGAAGATGACATAACAGAACATGGATAAACGATTAGCTGATCAACCATTACCCCTGACGATTCGCAATTAAATGTTATTGATTTTTCACAATTCGTTAGGGTTGTACAGAAACTTTTCTACTTGCTCTTAAATACAGTCTCAGTCTGAGAACAATGGATCTCGTGGCAAGCACATCCGAAACCAGACTCGACCGGCCTAAAAGGATGTAATCTTTCGTAAGGAGCAGGACACGTAAATGCATGGCATTAAGGGGCTTGGCGTGACGCACCTACGTAGCCTCCCCGAGCGACCATACCTGGGAAGTCTACACAATGCAAAGGAGTCAGTGTGTCAAACTATTCCGGGAGGATAAACTGAAGAACCAACAAGGTCTAGTGGAAAAGTTTTACCCCAATCCCAAACTGCTATACAGACACGTAAACAACTTGCGCCGTGTTAAGCGCGTTATTCCTGCTCTGTACACAGCATGCGGCTTAACCTAAACAGCACATGAGGCGGCCAACGTTCTTGGACAACAATTTGGTCGTAGCTTCCAAAGTGTGCAATCATCATTCATTCTGCCTAAGCAGATAAAGCCGCCATCAGGGCTTAATCACATGTCGTTCACCTCTGTAGCTGTACTGAAGAGGCTGATGTCTCTGCGCGAGTTCAGCTCCCCGGATGCGGACGGCATTCGTCCGAAGGCGTTGAAAGTTGCTGTCATGAGTTTGGCGGCGCCACTAGCAATTTTCTTTCAACAATGTCTGAACGAGGTGCACGTCCCCATGATGTGGAAGCACGGAATCATCACGCCAATCTACAAGAGTGGCAGCCGTGCTGAACCAACAAATTATCGCCCGATAACACTACTTCCAGTGATCTCCGAGGTTATGGTGTCCATCGTCACTGAGGCTTGGATGGAGTACCTGGAGAACAACAAAATTCTCGTTCCGGAGCAGCAAGGATTTCGCAAAAATCAGTCCTGTACCACTAATCTGTTGATTGCTTGTGCAAGCTCGACCGAATCTGTAGACGCTGGTGTAGGAATCGACGCGGCCTACCTGGATTTCTCAAAGGCATTCGACCGTATAGACCATCGCATTCTACTCCACCAACTCCAGAAATATGGAATCGGCGATCCTATTCTGGGCTGGAGAAGAGACTTTCTCGTGCAACGTCACCTGAAGGTGAGACTTCGAAGCAACCTATCAGAATCCATCGAAGTTCAGTGCGGCGTACCTCAGAGCTCGGTACTTGGACCCTGCCTGTTCCTGATTTTCATAAATGATCTCGCTAGCGTGCTATCTTCTAACTGTTTGCTATTTGCTGATGATTTAGTGTGGCGTACTATAGCTACAGTGGAGGATCACAGCGTTACAGGAGGACCTGGACAAAGCGTACACATGGTCCATCGAGAGCATACTGCATTTCAACGTCACCAAGTGCAAAGTTCTCAGCATACGGCACAAGAGTATGCACAAGTACCGCCTAAGACCACAAATTCTACAGCGGGCTTCTCAAAAGTGCGATCTCGGCGTGTTAGTTCAAGATGACCTCGGTTGTTCAAGGCAGACTGAAAAGACAGCTAAGAAAGCAAACCAGTACCTCGGCCTTCTCCGCAGAGCTTTCGGGAAGCTTGACCCTTCAATCTTTCCAAAACTGCTTAGTGCATACGTGAGGCCGCACGCGGAATACGCTATTCAAATGTCGCAACCCTGGCTCAAGCACCATCTCACCGCGCTCGATACGGCACAACGTATGGCACTGAAGAACGTCAGAGGTTTGGCAAGCCTCCCTTACCCACTCAGGCTGAAGACCCTCAAAATATACAGTGGACGTTATCGGCGTCTAAGGGGCAATCTCATAATGGTGTACCAGATCCTGAGAAACCCCAACCACCCATGCTATCCCTTTCTGATACTCAGTCAAACACCTCGCTAAGTGGTCACCAGTTTAAGAGCTGTTCACGCAGTACAACCGCCTGAAATGTCGGCTAAACTATTTCTCCCTTCGAGTGTCACAGCCTTAGAACGCCCTCCCGAAACATGTAATTAATGCACTCACCCTATCCCTTTTCAAAAACGCCTTGACGATACTCTGTCACATTTACACTACGTGCTATAGCCCATGACCATCAGATGCTTGCACTAATGCACAACAGACAGTGGATAGTGCCATAACCCTACTCGAGAATGAGTCACTCCAAACCCTTTGCACAAAATTTAATAAATGCTACTACTGTAGAAACTGGATTTCTGTATCCCGTCGACCCGAGATAGCTGCACATGAGTAAGCGTTGTGCTTGCTATTTTTATTTTTTTTCCTCGCTTATTACATGATCGATAACCACTCCCCTTATTGTTTTGTGTGTGTACATTCTCATTTCAAACTCCCTTTATATGGCACTGCAGTTGAATCTGTAATCGCCCGAACTGACGATTCCATTATCCCTTGATCTATCTTTGCTCACTCTAACCACCCTACGGGATATGTCAAGCACCTGCTTTTATACCCGTTATAAATCATTGTTCATTGTTTATCTAACTGCAATGATTAAAGGCCGTAGTGTCTCCGAAACCAATGGCCTCTTATTGCATCGCCTCGATGCAATGCAACAGCAATCGGTTGCATGAGAGCTGAGGTAATGTCAGAATGTTCAAACCTGATCTATGGCTAAGTCAAGTGTCTGGAACACAGAGGTTACAGAAAAGACGTCCGAACCACTACATTGCGAACCCCCCCCCCCGGGAGCGAGGGAGGGATTAACGGATCACAACAAGTAAGAAGTAACCAGTCTCTAGAACACGTCATCAAAGACAGCTTAAACGCCAGGAAGAGAAGGATCCGTCAGAAGTAATTAGGACATCACGAAGCAGCAGTGGGGTAATCGCGAGGGATATTGGACAGTATAGTCAATACTTCCGCATTCACACCCCATTCGAGACAACTTGCTTCGGTTGCAAAGAAGCCGGAAAATCCAATGTTCGAGGGAGTCAAAAGGACGATAGATGATCAAACTATTTTAGTTTCCTGTCCATGGTGCGACTGCCAATAGTGAAGTGTAATGTACAAAGTTAATCAAAATTCTGTCGGGGTATTGTTAAATGATAGTGGAATATTTGTTGAATGAAATTTCATTTCAATTTGTCAACTGCGGAACCTGCACCGAAGTGCGGTGAAACAGTGTACCTTGATGCACGTCAAGAAAATAACGTTAATGGCAATAACCATACTGCAAAATAATTGGCCTGCAAATTCTACGCGCATTTCAATAGGAGGCGGAATACGTACCGCGGTAACCAGAGCACTTTGAAGGTAATCTTTCAAACACACATTGCGCT